TTTGTAAAGTTTCCTCTCAGGCATGTTTCACACTCATCTGGCTTTCGCGGAAACCACGCGAGAATCAATGATGCGCCTGTTTAGCGATCATTTTCTAGACTTAACCCGCAGAGGGCATGGCAAAATTAATCTTTAACATTCCACACGTACATCCTGACTGGAGACGTTTGGTATTTTAACATTTTTTTAACCCGTCGTTAAGATGCTTTTCGCACGAGACGGCGATGACGTATTGCACGCTGATGATTTAGTGACGCTCTCTGTGCGTGCTTATGTCGAGGTTTGCGATGATAATTATGGCACAGGCAGTGTGCATTTTTTTTTACTAATCTTCAGAGAGGGCCCACTTTCGCCGATGACACATCATCAGTTGTGAGGACTCATACTCTTAGTTTTTTAGGTAAAGTCACGTAGGTAAAAAAAAACTAAATAAAAATTAATATGAAAAAAATAAAAATCACGACGTTTCAGATTTGCTGTATCGAGTGAGGCTCACTTGATACAGCAATGAGCCTCACTTGATACAGCAAATCTGGCTGTGACGGTCCCACCTGATGACGGAGACTTGTGTTGCCTCCGAAACGTCGTGATTTTAATTATTATTTTATTTTTATTAATTTTAATGTCATTTTTTTTTTACCTACGTGACTTTACCGAAAAAACTAAGACTATGAATCCTTGCAGTCACGAAAGCTTCAAATCTAGAGTTGTGAGGACTGCCACGCATTTGAAACCATTGGGGGGGGGGGGGGGGTGGGGTTGACGGCAGTACGTTGATGTGGTGCGTCTGGGGGGCCGGACTGAAGGCCACCAGGGTCAGTCAATGGCCCGCGGGCCTTTCAATGAAGAACGACTGGTACAGAATCACGATTGATATCAACTCGCCACTGATGTTAGCTTCTGCTGGAAATCAAACTCAGGTCGCCTCTGCCGGGTTCATAGCGCAGTGCGCTAACCACTGCACCACCGATCCCCGCTCCCTTCCGTCCCACCCCTCCCCCACCACTTTATTTATAAATCCAAAGCTCACCCGTGTAGCCCACGTAGACTGTTGTGACAAGTGCCGTTAACAAGCCAACTTTGAAAGTCAGCGCGCAACGCAAGAGCGTTGTAATTCCATGCGTTCATCCGCCTTTATCGCCCCAGTGCTGATATGTACGCACTTGCACGTACACATATAAGGCTGAGTTGACTTAGAGGGAGGCCCAGGAGCGGTTTAGATATCAGCCGCGGTTCGTGATCGAACTTGGGGTCGCTGAGTTCGTAGCGTGAAAACTAACAACTGATTCCCCTGTATATTAATCATAAAATAAAGATGCCCCGTGCAGACTACGTAACGGACTGTCGGAGCGAGTGCTGCTAGCGAACGCTTCTGAACGCCGGCCGGCACGGCACACGAGGCGATGGGGTAGCCAACATCACACGCGGCCGCCTTTGTCTCCCTAGTGACGATGTTTACACACCACGGGGTTCGTGGGGAGGAGGAGGGGGGGGGGGTGCAGTGCGCGTTAACCGCTGCGCCACCACCCCACGGACGCGTTCTAGACACAGGAAAGAGCGCTACGCTCACTCACTCACTCGGCCGCTCAAGTCCAGCCCGGGCCAACTCCCACGGGGATTTTATCCTCGAATTACTCCCGCTCACGCACGGCCGCTGACCGTTTTATGGCACCGGGACAGTTAACAGCGAGACTTGTCTGAAACTCGATGTCACTTTTATTTTTGAAAAAAAAAATGATTCCTCTCCCATGAGTCACAGATTCGTCAATGTTTGTTTTACTTGTTCTATGAGCACACCGCTCACTGCCAAACTCTGGCAGCGGCATCACGCAAACTCCGGTAATCCTCGCAGCAGCAGCAGCAGCAGCGGCGGATTTTGGCTGGCCACTAAGAACCAGGCTACAGTCTACATTATAGACTGCCAGTACACTCACACAGCTTAATAACCAGGCTACAGTCTACATTATAGACTGCCAGTACGCTCACTGAGGTTAAGAACCAGACTACAGTCTACATTACAGACTGCCAGTACGCTCACCGAGGTTAAGAACCATTCTACAGTCTACATTATAGACTGCCAGTACACTCACCGAGGTTAATAACTAGGCTACAGTCTACATTATAGACTGCCAGTACACTCACCGAGGTTAATAACTAGGCTACAGTCTACATTATAGACTGCCAGTACACTCACCGAGGTTAATAACCAGGCTACAGTCTACATTATAGACTGCCAGTACGATCACCGAGGTTAAGAACCAGGCTACAGTCTACATTAGAGACTGCCAGCACTCACCGAGGTTAATAACCAGGCTACAGTCTACAATATAGACTGCCAGTACGCTCACCGAGGTTAAGAACCAGGCTACAGTCTACATTATAGACTGCCAGTACACTCACACAGCTTAATAAGCAGGCTACAGTCTACATTATATACTGCCAGTACGCTCACCGAGGTTAAGAACCAGGCTACAGTCTACATTATAGACTGCCAGTACACTCACCAAACTTAAAAATCAAATCAAGATTAATAACCAGTACGCTCACTCCGATTAAGAAGCAGGCTACAGTCTACATTAGTGTTTTTTTCTTCTTGGTTCTTTTTTATGTTTTATTTTTATTATTTTATTACTTCCCTTCTACGTGACTTTACCGAAAGAACCAAGAAGATGAATCCCTGCAGTCACGAAAGCTTTAAATCGAAATTTAGTGTTTTTTTGTTTTTATTAACATTTTTATTCACTTTATTTTGTATTATTATGTTTCAATCTACGTGACTTTACCGAAAGAACCAAAGAATAAGAGAGTGCTAGCGAGCATGCGTTCTCTCATCCACGTGCATCAGTGCCTGCCTCCCAGTGAAATTCCAATCTTGCCAACCGTCTCCACGCCTCTCTGCTCACATTTCAGGAGCTTCTGTCTAATAGTTGTAGATTTTAATCCGGGTAAATTTTCTTTGTGTTTTGTTGTTGTCGTTGTTATTGTTGTGTACATGCGGGAAGGGCTCTCTCAACTCGTGAGAATGCGGAGAGAAAAAAACATCAGTCTTTTCAGAAGTTTTACGATAAACAGTTCACGAAGTCAAGGGAAATGCTGTTTTTTTAAAGATTATCATGATGATGATAAAGATGCTAATGATGATAGACTTGGTGAGAATTACAATGCTTCTGATGTTTAAGACTTTTTTTGTGCATTTATTTTTCAAGGATTGACGTACCTCGGTGAAGTAATTAAGAGCCATTTACAAATACACTGCTGATAATAAGATCTTTATTTAGACTCAGAGCCGGATTAAGCTAGTGTGGGGCCTGTAGCATATGCTATAAAGGGGGCCCTTAAATAAAAATAAGTAATATGAAAAAACTTTTTTTAAACACGCTTTTAACACATTCCTGCGGAGGGAGCTAGGAAGGAACGTTGGGTTACTCGGTCAATGGCCAGGGTCAACGGCTGGCGTGGTGTATTCCGCAAATATGCCCGACTGTGAGGGCGGGCACAAATCGGCGTGAGTAGGTTAAACGTTGAGTTTTATAAGGGCACCAAAGGGTGACCAGCCCCTCCCCACCCAGCCCCACCCCTCCCACCCCCCACCCAGCCCCTCCCCACCCAGCCCCTCCCCACCCTCCCCACCCAGCCCCTCCCCACCCTCCACACCCTCCCCTTCCCACCCAGCCCCTCCCTCCCCACCCAGCCCCTCCCTGCATGACGGACGGACACAATAATCCCCTGTGGGCTGGTGTAACCAGGAGCTTCCTACCAGTATGAAATGTACTATGGCAGAACTCCACGACTCCAGGAAGTGGCCCTAAAGCTTGCCATAACGTAAGGGACCGTGGCCAATTACAGCCGACGTCAGTTGACCTGTGGACAATTAGACCCAAGCCGAAACATAACATATAAAAAAGAATGTTTAAAAAATATATATATTTTTTATGATAGAATATAGTATTGTCATCAGTATGACGTAAGTATACCAAGTTTGCAGTCGATACGACATTGGGAAGTGGGTTAAAATTGAGTTACAAGATTTGAGGATACAACAACGAGAACAACGACAACAACAACAGACAGAGTTGATAAAAAGTTTGTAATAATAAAAAAACACATATATATTAAAACACAATTGTTTTACTTGAACAGTAAAGTAATTGCATGTTTCATTTGCTATACAGCCAGATAATACGACAAATCGCTAACCTTAAACACCCAGTCGTTCATAAAAGTTGAAGGCGGTATAGTACTATAGTAATAGAGCAAGTGCAGAATCACTGAACCGGAATTGATAGCTTGAAAGCATTGAGCGCGGGGCCTTTGAAAGTGCGGGTCCCGTAGCATATGTAGCTACTACACATGTAGCTACTACATATGTAGTAGCTACTTGTGCTCCTAGGGTAACTATCCGGCACCGTTTGGACTGCAGGAGCAATCCGATGAGCTATGAAGCTCTTTTCCCACAGATGTCCGGCAGGGGCGCGGGATCAGAAAGTTCCAAGAGGCAACACAAAAATCGGCTGGAGTGCACGAATAATAAATATGTAGAAAAAAACACATATAAATCAAAATTGCAAAAGTATATCGATTCCTAATGATTTTTTGCAACAATAAATGCCAGCTTAGGCAAGGCTTCAAAACAACAACAACGACAGTCCCAGACCACAGCGAAAACAAGAACACACAGTCCGCCAATAAAATCGCACGCTAAAATGAAAACTATCGATACACGTGGTAACGGATCATAAACCAGAATGGATATTTCAACCGCGGACGGACTCCGATGTGCTATGATCGCCTTTGTGTGTTTTTTTCGTCGTCACAGTTTACCCAGAACGGGGATGGTCAAAGTGACACATCACGTAATGAAGCATTTCCTATGCCGTGTCAGCCCCCCCCGTCTCCCCCTCTCTCTACACCACCCACCAAAGTAAGATCCACCCCCCCCCCCCGTTTATCATCCCCTCGCCCACACGTGTTCCGCTTTACTGGCGTCGCGTCGACCCTTGCTCCTCCTCCCTCCTCTGCCTCCTCCTCCTCCTGCGGACTCTCCTAAACACTACCAGACGCTAACCAGGGGACATTACCACGGAGGACGGGAGAGAGGGAGAGCGTTGAGTTTATTCTCATCAAAGCTGTTGGGTTTTAAGTAACCCTGCGTGCGTGTGCGTGCGTTTCGCGTGTTGGTTTAGCGCGCTGCGTTACGAAACCCGGCGACTCGAGTTCGATTCCACGGTTCACGGCCAACACCGCCGGTGGCGAGTATCTGAAACGGTCCTGGGGTACCTCCTCTAGGTCGACTCGGACTCAAATGAGTAGCTGGTGTGGTGTGTAGTCATCGCCACTCGGGAGATAAGGGCGGTCGGGCGTGGTGCTAGCCACCACACTCCCTCGTGTGCCGACCCGGCTTTTCATCGGTGCCCGCTAACAGCGCTTGCCCCAACAGTCTGTTAAGGCTCTACTGGTGATCTTTGTTTCGTCTGTAAACACACTGGACTAGCTACTGACAGAGCTGCAGTTAATTTAGAGTACAGAAGTTCTCAACGACGAGTACAGTATTTGAGTCCATCATCATCATTACCACCACCACCATCATCATCATTTACACCACCACGCCGCCACGTGTGGCCAACTTGGACTCGGGGGAGCTGGAAGTTTCGTCAGTAGATCTGTCGAACAGGACTTCTCAACATCGATAACTCTGGGTAGAAGGTTCCACCGTCTTCGCCATCATCAGCTACACTACCGTGCGGCTAACCTGGATTGACCGGAGCGCTCCTAACCAAATCTCCTCTCTCCATCATCATCATCACCATCATCCCCGCGGGCTCCGATGGCTGGTGCTGGCAGGCTGACGATGCCCCTGCTGCTGCTGCTATCACCGCTGCTGCTACTACTGCTTCAACTCCACACGTCGCTCGCCTTGTCCACCTGCCGGAGCTTGGACCTCACCGAGTTGACGCGCAAGCGAATCGAGGCGATCCGCGGTCAGATCCTGAGCAAGTTGCGGCTGGCCGAGCCGCCTGAGCATTTCGCGGGCGGCGGCAGCAGCCAGACGGTGGTGGTGCCGGGCTCCGTGATGGCCCTCTACAACAGCACCAGGGACATGCTGGTGCAGCAGCAGCGGCGGCGGCTGTCTATCGAGCAGGGCTGGTGCGCAGAGGCGTTGGCACGCGGCGAGGAACACTACTACTCACGAGTGGCGCACATCGTCAACTGCAGCAGGATCAACAGCGGTGAAGGGCTCACTCACTCACCCACTCACTCACCCAACATCTCACTCACTCACCTGCTCACCCACTCACTCGCTCGCTCACCCACTCACTCACCCACCCAACATCTCACTCACTCACCCACCCACTCACCCAACATCTCACTCACTCACCCACCCACCCAACATCTCACTCACTCACTCACCCACTCGCTCGCTCGCTCACCCACTCACTAACTCACACACTCACCTAACATCTCACTCACCCACTCACTCACCCACTCACTCACCCAACATCTCACTCGCTCACTCACTCACCCACTCACTCACTCACTCACCCACACACTCACCTAACATCTCACTCGCTCGCTCACCCACTCACTCACCCAACATCTCACTCGCTCACTCACCCACCCAACATCTCACTCACTCGCTCACCCACTCACTCACACACTCACCTAACATCTCACTCACCCACCCAACATCTCACTCACCCACCCACCCAACATCTCACTCACCCACCCACCCAACATCTCACTCACCCACCCACCCAACACCTCACTCACTCACCCAACATCTCACTCGCTCACTCACTCACCCACCCACTCACCCAACATCTCACTCGCTCACTCACTCGCCCACTCACCCACTCACTCACCCATTCACCCACTCACTCACCCAACATCTCACTCGCTCACTCACTCACCCACTCACTCACTCACCCACACACTCACCTAACATCTCACTCACCCACTCACTCACTCACCCACCCACTCACCCAACATCTCACTCGCTCACTCACTCGCCCACCCACTCACCCACTCACTCACCCAACATCTCACTCACCCACTCACTCACCCACTCACTCACTCACCCTCCACCACGGCCAGCAAGCTTTGGCACGTAAACAAAAACTCGCAAATTCGTTTACCACTTCATCCACACACATATTTTGACAATTGTTTTTGTTACACGGGAAAAATCGCGTGTAGCCAGTTACCCGGCTAGTTATCGGTGGGCACAGCCCGCAGCAGCCACTAACAACAACAACACGAGTTCCTGTTGGGGCGATGGAGAGAAGCCCAGCCAGCAGCCAGCCAGGAAACTCGGGGCATTGATGATCTTTTAATCGTGTACTGTCGTGTGATCCACGCGTGTCTGTATGTGTGATCTGTATGTGTTGTGTGTGTGTGTAGGCCACGTGTGTCTGTATACCACGTGTGTGTGTAGGCCACGTGTGTATGGATGCCATCTGTGTATGATGTAGATTTGGGTGTATCCCGTGTGTGTGATCTGTGTGTGTATCTCCTGTGTGTCTGTGCGCTATGTGTGTGTGTCCCATGTGTGTCTGTACGCTAAGTGTGTGTGTCCCATGTGTGTCTGTACGCTATGTATGTGTGTCCCATGTGTGTCTGTACGCTATGTGTGTGTGTCCCATGTGTGCCTGTACGTTATGTGTGTGTGTCTATGCTATGTGTGTATCGCGTGTGTCTTTACGCTATGTGTGTGTAAGCCCTGTGTGTCTGTATGCTATGTGTGTGTATCCCATGTGTGTCTGTACCCTATGTGTGTGTGTATGCCCTGTGTGTCTGTATGCTATGTGTGTGTGTCCCATGTGTGTCTGTACGCTATGTGTGTGTGTGTCCCATGTGTGCCTGTACGTTATGTGTGTGTGTGTCTATGCTATGTGTGTATCTCGTGTGTCTTTACGCTATGTGTGTGTATGCCCTGTGTGTCTGTATGCTATGTGTGTGTGTATCCCATGTGTGTCTGTACCCTATGTGTGTGTGTGCCCTGTGTGTCTGTATGCTATGTGTGTGTATCCCATGTGTGTCTGTACCCTATGTGTGTGTGTATGCCCTGTGTGTCTGTATGCTATGTGTGTGTGTATCCCATGTGTGTCTGTACCCTATGTGTGTGTGTATGCTCTGTGTGTATGTAAGCTATGTGTGTGTGTATGCCCTGTGTGTCTGTATGCTATGTGTGTGTGTATCCCATGTGTGTCTGTACCCTATGTGTGTGTGTATGCCCTGTGTGTCTGTATGCTATGTGTGTGTGTATCCCATGTGTGTCTGTACCCTATGTGTGTGTGTATGCCCTGTGTATGTGTAAGATATGTGTGTGTGAGAGCCCCGTGTGTATATATAGTTTACGCTGTGTCTATATACTCCGAATCTTTGAGCCATGTGTAGGAGGCTGTCTCTTACTCTGTAAGCTAGCGCGCGTGTGTGTGTGTGTCCTAATGATGTTTAAGAGCTTACGGTTGAAGTGGAATACCAACCCCTGCTTGTCCAAAAGTCGGCCTATGGAAAACCCCCGAACATCGGTTCACTGCAACACTCTCAGCTCCTGGCCAAGGGGACCCCAAAGTGCACGTTCTCTTTGAAACAAATTTCTTGAGACTCGTTGCGGCAGTTCCTGAATGCGGGACGTTGCCCTTGCCATCGTTGTCAAATTATACTGGTAGGAACCTCCTGGTTACACCAGCCTACAGGGGATTATTGTGTCCGTCTGTCTTGGCATCCAAAAATGGAAGGGGTGGGGCTGAGTGCAGAGGGGAGGGTGGGGAGAGGGCTGGGTCGGGCGGGTGGGGAGGGGTGGGGCTGGATGGGGAGGGGCTGGTCACCCCGTGGTGCCCTTATAAAACTCAACGTTTAACCCACTCACGCCGGCTTGTGCCCGCCCTCACAGTCGGGCATATTTGCGGAATACACCACGCCGCCGTTGACCCTGGCCATTGACTGAGCAACCTAACGTTCCTACCAGCTCCGTCAGGCAGGAATGTGTTTTAGCGACGTTAAATGTTCACACACTGTATTTAAATAGGAACCACGTGGCAGGCATCATAGATCGGGCAGTGCGGCAACATCAATTGTTGCATTGTACTCAATGTGCTCTACTTTTATTCTCCCCGCCTTCACCAGAGATGTTAACTCCCTCACTCGGTACACAGGAGATCGTGGATTTGATCCCGACCCCGTGACGCCTGCTGCTGTGTATTTGGAGTTTGTGATGTCTCTCTCTCCCCGTGGTCCCGTGGGTTTTTCTCTGGGTCCTCCGGGTTTTTCCCATTCACATTTAGAACCGTGCGTTTGGGGTATTTGGTTGTTATAAATTCCACGTGATGATAAGCGACGTAGCTTCGTGGACTTTGACTTGTAAAATAAGAATTGTTGTTTAGTTTCTAGATTAGTAATATGGGTAGCAAGCGGGCTGCACCAGCAATACCCACACATTCTAGATTTGAAGCTTTCGTGACTGCAATGATTGAAATTCTTAGGTTTTTTTCGGTAAAGTCACGTAGGTAAAAACATTAAAAAGTAAAGTACCACCTGAAGACGGAAGCTTGTGTTGCCTCCGAAACGTCGTGATTTTTATTTTATTTTTTAATGTTTTTACCTACGTGACTTTACCAAAAAAAACCTAAGAATATAATACCCACACACACACGCAAGCTCCGTTAAAGCATCTTTAAAAGATTCAGTTGCAGTTTGGTGGTTGACAGTTAAATGTGCAGCCCTGCAATTGCTTGCTCATTGATGTGCGTTTAGAGTATTTGTCAACTGCTGTACATATCCGCGTGATGACGATGAGCCACTTCGTTGGGCCATCATTGGTGATAGCCAGGTCACTTCTGAAAAAGAGTTACATAGCTGAGTGGGCCTTAATAATAATAATGATTATTCCATTTATTTTGCAATTTTCATCAAGGATCTGAAAGTGATGCACAGGACAGCAGCAGCAGACACTCAGCATACAAATAATGATATTAGAAATACATTTTTAAGAATCCATTTACTAATCGAACTCAAAGTTGAATAAGCAGAAGCGTATAAATAGGTTTTAAAGCGCATTTTAAAAATGCCCACAGCCTAGGAGATCCTGATATGTCGATATCTGGTCATTTTTTTTATAGTTGAGTCTTTGTTTAGCTTGCGTGAAAGCCTCTCCCATCACCTATCGGCATGTCATCAGGCACCATGGAAGCCATCGGCTCGTCACGGTGCACCGAAGAAACGGGGTCCAGAAAACAGGAAGCGAAGCAGCAGCAGCAACAACAACAAATAGGAGCGATTTTGATTTGAAGAAGCCCAGCCACTTTTCTTACTTCCCGAAAGGAAGCCCAGCAAATAATAATGCCGGTTACTCATGCTCCGCCCGGGTGCACGACCTCCCAATTTCTCTATTGAACTGGGAGCTCCACTTGTAGAGGATCCCGTTAAGAGGGCCAGTGCCTTCGTTTGGCTGCCCGTTGGATCGGTGCCGGATTATCCTCGTAGCAAAAGTACCTGCATATGTAGTAGGAGCTACTAATAATAGCTGCTACTACATATGTACTACTACATATAATGTAGTAGGTAATGCTGCACATGTGGTAGCTACGGGCCCCACACTTTCAAGGGCCCCGTATTAAATGCTGATCAAGCTATCAATTCCGGTTCAGTGATTCTGCACTTGCTCTATTGCTATAGTACTATACCGCCTTCAACTTTTATGAACGACTGGGTGTTTAAGGTTAGCGATCTGTAGTACTATCTAGCTGTATAGCAAATGAAAAAATACAATTACTTTACTATGCAAGTGAAAATTTAGTGTTTAAAGTGAAAATTTAGTGTTAAAATATTCACTTTTTTTTGTTACATTTCGAGCCCCTTTATAACATACGCTACAGCCCCCGCGCTAGCTTGATCCGGCACTGCGTTGGACTCATCCTTGGCCGTATAAAACGGACTCGTGCGGACAACACCCGTGGGGCAGAGAAGTTGCTGGGCGCACCCACCACACGCACGGTGACCCCCCGTGAACCTTGCGTTCGATCGCTGCCCGCCACTCACATCGGTGGCGAGGGATATCCGAACGGGGGTCCTGGGGTTCCAGCTCCGCCTTCATTCACCCGCACCGACCAGCGTGGTGAAGTATGGTCAGGCGACCCCCGTTATCAACAAGGTGTGGGGAGGCCTTCGTTCAGCAGTGGATTGACAAAGGGCCATACGTTATTTTTAAAACTTAAAAAAATGTTTGCAG